GTGGCGAGTTCTCACCTGAGATTATTCAGTGTACTGTAACACGGTATACATTCAATATACTGCAGTACTTAACGGTACATTCAGTATACTGCAGTACTTGACAGTTCATTAAGTATACTGCAGTATTTCACAGTACATTCAGTATACTGCAATACTTTACAGTACATATTTAGTAAACTGCAGTACTTCGCAATTCAGATTCAGTATACTGCAGTACGTCACAGTTTAGATTCAGTATACTGCAGTACGTCACAGTTTAGATTCAGTATACTGCAGCACGTCACAGTTTAGATTCAGTATACTGCAGTACGTCACAGTTTAGATTCAGTATACTGCAGTACGTCACAGTTTAGATTCAGTATACTGCAGTACGTCACAGTTTAGATTCAGTATACTGCAGTACGTCACAGTTTAGATTCAGTATACTGCAGTACGTCACAGTTTAGATTCAGTATACTGCAGTACGTCACAGTTTAGATTCAGTATACTGCAGTACGTCACAGTTTAGATTCAGTATACTGCAGTACGTCACAGTTTAGATTCAGTATACTGCAGTACGTCACAGTTTAGATTCAGTATACTGCAGTACGTCACAGTTTAGATTCAGTATACTGCAGTACGCCACATTTTAGGTTTTTTAGTATACTGCAGTACCTCACTGTTAGGATTATTCAGTATTCCGCAGCACTTCGTATTTTAGATTCAGTATATGCAGTACTCTGCAGATTCTATTAGTCGGTATACGCAGTACTTCAGTTTAGCTTATACAGTATACCGCAGTACATGATAACTTAGAATACTGAGCACTCAACAGGGCTCACACGGTTGGAATCCACCGTGTCCTCCCTGTGAGCCGACTGTACATCATTTGTAAGTCACCTTGCACCTTCAGGTGCTTGACATGCGAAAAGGCAGCACAAGTTCTCTCTGCACATCATAATAACAAGTATATCGTTCTGTTTAGGTTAATATTTAACATATTTCAGAAAGTAAAGTGGTGTTTTTTTCCAATATATTTGTAATAAATTCTAATTTTTGGAATGGTATATTTTATTAACTTCTGTTCAGGCGTATTTTGTAATAGGATATTTTAAATAACTTTTATAGAGATGTTATTTTTTGTAAATGGGATATTTTATAAGGACGTTATTTTTGCAAAGGTTTTTAATGATTACTATATTGACTTGTTTTTATAATGCGATATTTTTAATATTGTCTATGAGCTCATGTATTTTGAAAGCGATTTTTTTTGTAAATAAACAAACTAAAGTAACTACCCTTTTTAAAAGAAATAATTTTTTAATGATTGTAATAAACACGTGTTTGTATGAAGTATTATTGAGGATTTCTGCAGTGGTTTTTTTTTTATATTTTGATGAATGCTCTAGGAACTTTTTTTTTTACAAGCTGGAAGGGACGTGTTTTTCTTTTACATTGACTGCTGTAAGGGCGTTCGTTTACAAGTAGGATATAAGGACGGGCTTTTAAATTGTGTATTTTTAAAAGTGATCTCTTTTAGGTGAAAACGTGTGACCCAGTTGTGATTACATCCCTCTTAATGGGTTTGTGTATCACAACCACAAGGTGAAGACACAATCTCCTGAGTGCCCACTAGGTGAGATATATTGGAATTTTCTTGCTATTAAGATACATTTGTTATTGATACAATCTTGAGCAGTTATGAAAACTCTGTGCAGTTAATAAAAATCATTTCAATATGTTGCATAATAAAATTATTTCAGTCATGTATTGATATAAATATTTGCACAACCAGTGACTGATGTTAAAGATTTTATGGAGAGATTAATACAATAACATTTCAGAACCCAAAGCGAGGAGTGGAGTGATAGACAAATATCCCAGTACAAACTTCAACTATGGACAAACTCAGTTTAAGAGGTAGGTATTATTGCTTCTGTATTTTTTTTATGTTGAGATGTTATTCTTTCCACAGTTTCAAGTTAATGTTTATTGTTTTAATTTGGTGATCCTGCATTATATAAAATGCTTCACAAGAAGTTGATATTCAGGATTTCACTGTGTCTGTTATCCATAATAGTAGATATTAAGACTGAGATATTAATTATTTTGCATAATCGAATGACACTAAATATTGTTTTAAAATAACCTTTGCAGCTACAGTTAATCTCAATATTATTTCAGAACCAGAAGATAATGTGGAGGCTATAAAGTCTTCAACTCGTCGCTTCAAAAGTATAGAGAATTTGAGCAGATACGAATGGACTAGTTAACAAGCGGAGGATGACCTCATTAACATGAGGCGGTGCACGCTAGACATCTCACGCTGATACCTCCACAGCTGCCCCGGGAGCGCGCGTACCAGTACATTTCACCCAGGAGCATCCTCATACTGTGGGCATTTCCTACTCCACCACTCACTCCAGTATCTCTGGCTTACCCCACACAAAATGACTGTAGTGATATCGCTCAGTAGTATTCTATCATCCTCTGATATACGAATAATTAATGCGCTTCTTTTATTTAGTAAAATTAGATACATTAGTATTTACATAATGGGAACGGAAGCCAACTATATTTCCCTGGCATATTCTATCACAGGGATGGGCTGGATACATAGTGTTGAAATCTTTCAGTCTGAGCTAGGAGACAACAGATAATGAGAGTTGAGGGTATACAATACATGTGCACTTAAGGCGTAGACCCTGTAACTTAAGTATGTCCCTATAGGAAATACCTGTAGCGGTAGTCGGACCATGTGATAACTTTAAAACTCCTCTTCTAATTAGCTTCAAATTTTCAACGTTGACGTATCTTGCTCAAAGTTAGATTCAGATTGCTTTTGGGCTTGGTAGGTCCTAATTTGCCACTTCCATAAATAAAAATAGTGATTTCTTTAAAATAGCTTTAATGCCTCTTCTGATTACCTTCAATTTTTCACTGCTGGTGCATCACACATAGAGGAATATTCAGACTGCTGTTGGGCTTTGTAGTCATTTTTGCATGTGGTAATAGAGTTCTTTTGAACTTGTGTAAATTTACAATGCTGATGTATCTAACCCGAATGATAGTTGAGATTAATTTATCCTCTATAGGTGCATGTTTGCCAAATACATACAGTGGACCCCCGCCTTACGATGGCATCGCGTTACGTTAAATCCGCCATACCTCATACGATACATTTTAACGCAAAAATTTTGCCTCACGTGATTGGTCGGGAACGCGTCCTACGCATGGCCTCAGCTGTCCCGTGCGTGCCAGTGTTTACAAGCCAGCCAGTGTGGTCGCATCCACACATACATTCGGTACATTTCATATTATCAGAGTGTTTTTAGTGATTGTAGCTGCAAAATAAGTCACCATGGGTCCCAAGAAAGCTTCTAGTGCCAACCCTGCGGGAAAAAGGGTGAAAATTACTATGGAAATGAAAAAAGAGATAATTGCTAAGTACGAAAGTGGAGTGCGTGTCTCGGAGCTGGCCAGGTTGTATACCAAACCCCAATCAACCATCTCTACTATCGTGGCCAACAAAACGGCAATCAAGGAAGCTGTTCTTGCAAAAGGTGCAAGTTTGTTTTCGAAACAGAGATCACAAGTGATAGAAGATGTTGAGAGACTGTTATTGGTGTGGATAAACGAAAAACAGATAGCAGGAGATAGCATCTCTCAAGGGATCATATGTGAAAAGGCTAGGAAGTTGCATGACGATTTAATTAGAAAAAAGCCTGCAACTAGTGGTGATGTGAGTGAATTTAAGGCCAGCAAAGGTTGGTTTGAGAGATTTAAGAATCGTAGTGGCATACATAGTGTGATGAGGCATGGTGAGGCTGCCAGTTCGGACAAAAAAGCGGCTGAAAAATATGTGAAGGAATTCAAGGATTACATAGACAGTGAAGAAATGCAACCTGAACAAGTGTTTAATTGTGACGAAACAGGCCTGTTTTGGAAGAAAATGCCAAGCAGGACCTACATTACTGAGGAGGAAAAGGCACTCCCAGGACATAAGCCTATGAAAGACAGGCTTACTCTTCTCATGTGTGCCAATGCTAGTGGTGATTGCAAAGTGAAGCCTTTATTGGTGTATCACTCTGAAACTCCCAGAGCGTTCAGGCAAAACAATGTCGTCAAGGCTAATTTGTGTGTGATGTGGAGGGCAAACAGTACGACATGGGTCACTAGGGACCTTTTCTATGACTGGTTACACCATGCATTTGCCCCCACTGTGAAAAATTACCTAATGGAAAAGAAATTGGACCTTAAGTGCCTCCTGGTATTAGACAGTGCTCCTGGTCATCCTTCAGACTTGGCAGAGCGACTTTCTAGGGACATGAGCTTCATTAAGGTCAAGTTTTTGCCTCCTAATACCACTCCTCTCCTGCAGCCCATGGACCAGCAGGTCATTTCAAACTTCAAAAAACTCTACACAAAAGCTATGTTTCAAAAGTGCTTTGAAGAAACCTCAGATACTCGATTGACTCTAAGAGAGTTTTGGGAAGATCACTTTAGCATCCTCATTTGTGTAAACCTTATAGGTAAGGCTTGGGAGGGAGTGACTAAGAGGACCTTGAACTCTGCTTGGAAGAAACTGTGGCCACAATGTGTAGAAGAAAGGGATTTTGAAGTGTTTGGGGCTAACCCTCGGGGGCCTATGCCAGTTGTGGAATCTATTGTGGCATTGGGAAAGTCCATGGGGTTGGAGGTTAGTGGGGAGGATGTGAAAGAGTTGGTGGAGGAGGACAATGAACTAACCACTGAAGAGCTGCAAGATCATCTTCAACAGCAAGAGGCCAGACCTGAGGAAACTGCTTCAGAGGAGGGGAGAGAGAAATTGAGGAAGTTGCCTACTTCAAAGATTAAGGAAATGTGTGCAAAGTGGGTTGAACTGCAAACCTTTATGGATGAAAATCACCCTGACACAGCTACTGCAAGCGTGCTGGTGACTATTACAATGACACTGTTATGGCCCATTTTAGGAAAGTCTTAAAGGAACGGGAGGTACAGACCTCTATGGACAGGTTTGTTGTGCGACAGAGGTCCAGTGACTCAAGCTGGTCCTAGTGGCATTAAAAGAAGAAGGGAAGTAACCCCTGAAAAGGACTTGATACCTCAAGTCCTAATGGAAGGGGATTCCCCTTCTAAACAATAACTTCTACACACTCCCCTCCTCCCATCCCATCAATCATCACCAGATTTTCAATAAAGGTGTCATGTATTCTATTTTTAGTAGAGTAGTAATTGTGCATGTCTTCTTCAGTTTGTGTGTATTAAAATTAATATTTCATGTGGTAAAAAAATTATTTTTTCATACTTTGGGGTGTCTTGCACGGATTAATTTGATTTCCATTATTTCTTACGGGGAAAATTAATTCGCCTTACGATAATTTCGGCTTACGATGAGCTTTCAGGAACGGATTAATATCGTAAGGCAGGGGTCCACTATATATACATAAAAAATGTATTATTGGTTTTTGTGCATTCTCAGAAGAAAGTCTTTTGAAGCTTTCAACACTTGATGTATTGCACTTAGTGGAAGTTTTGAATTGGTTATAAGCTGTATAGAGATCAATTTGCCATTTTTTCAACAAATTTAAATATTTTTTCCGTCTGATAACATGAGAATCCTTATTTTTATCGACTTAAATCTTTCAGCTCAGATGTATTGTGTCTCAAGAAAGTTTCGGCTCTTTTAAGTTGCTTTGTAGTGCGAATTTGCCAGTTTCACAAAAGTATAGGGTATCATGTTTACCATTCTGGAGCACCAGAAAATTGTGCAGCACATTTCATTTTAATTCTAAACCATTTTTTTATTTATATTTAAGATTTTAAGCTTATTTAAGCATTTAAGAATTACATACGCTTTGGTGTAGCATATCTTTCATAGGAGAGAAACTCCTTTAAGTTTCATTAAGATAGTTTTATTAGTCTCCATGATAAGCCAGAGAGACTGCATCACTTCCCTTCACGATAAAGTCTCTGGATACAGCCAACCTAATTTCATCTGATTAACTGGGTTGAGTTTCAATTTCTGGGCCTCTTAAGGCTTTTTATATACAGCTGCGACTCTTGGGTGTTGATCTGTAGCTCCTGTGCATCTTGAGGGTGTTCATCTACAGTTGCCATGCTTGAGGGTGTTCATCTCCAGCTCATGAACCTCTTGGAGTAACTCCTAGTTTTCATGAAGGAGTTATACAACGGCTCCTCTCGCTCTTGAGGGTTCTGGAGAACAGCTATTAGACCTCTGTCATTCATTGAGGTACAAGGGGCTTGGGTTGTGCAATAAGTAAATAATAATAATTTATTGTTATTACCGTATATTCACGGAGAAGTGCTGAATCTGTAGGGTCATGAATTGCCTAGAACAAAGAATAGAATAGGCCGAAACTCCTCTCGTTTCTTAACGATTTTTCGGGTAGTATTGCAGAGCTATAATTTATTGATAGTCGGGTAATGTGGCTTTGTGGGCATGTGGGTCACTAGTACAAACAACTTTGTTGACCAGGTGGTCAACAGGAAGCCTCGCATCAGGCTGGACTGCAAGGGTAGAAGAGTCCTCGAAATTGGTCACAGGTATACACAGCACAGATACTTCCCAAGTGTACACCTTGACACCCTGAAGAAGAAACAACTCTATGCAATGCAAGAACTCTACATGCCAGATAGAGAACATCCTCTCCAAGTTGAAAATACCACGGATTATATCATCAATACTCCTCACAGGACTCAAAGAATGGCTCTCCCACAGAGGGTCCGTTGTTTTATCCATAAAGACGATTACCATCGACCAATGATATTGAGCAACCTCCCTGCAGATGAAGATGATTGGGTAACACCAGAACCCTTCTATGTTTACTAAGAAAATCATCGCCCCCAATTACGGAGACATCTTGTATAACATTCTACTGTTAAAATTATGCTACATTTACTATGGCGGGACACCACCTTGTAAGAAGCTATTGTGTCAAGTAATTCTTTATAAACTGGCCAGAAAATTATTGACTTCATTGCCGCTTAAATATCCGTTGCGCAATCGCAAAAAAAAAAAAATGGCAACTTGTATATTTACTGCCAATTCAGAGTCATGTACTGGTATATCTGTTATATCTATGTGACTCTGATGGGTTAGTATTATACCCCTTCAAGAATATTTTATTATTCCACATACACTTTTTAAATTACACCAAAGTGGTTGGGCCACTTAACTTTTATATCCTACCTCTCTCTCCCTTCTCTCACCCTTTTCCAATATTTCTATCCTTACCCATCCTTCTTGGAAACATAAACACATATGCAGTTTATTGTGATCCTTTATTGACAACGTTTCGCCCACACAGTGGGCTTTTTCAAGTCACAAACAGATCTACCTGGGGTGGAAGGTACGGGAGTATTTATAGTCAGGTTCATCGCTATCCCACATAAGAACATAGAACACTGCATAAGGTCTACTCACAACTTGTCCAATACCCCTGCCAAGCTACCCAAGACTCATAACCCCACCCGGTAGATCATCAGATGCAGCATTCTCCACCTGACCTCAACATTCTGAACCTGACTATAAATACTCCCGTACCTTCCACCCCAGATAGATCTGTTTGTGACTTGAAAAAGCCCACTGTGTGGGCGGAACGTTGTCAATAAAGGATCACATTAAACTGCATATGTGTTTATGCTTTCCATTGTGTCGGTATTTTATACCATTTATTTTCACCCATCCTTCTTCCTTACCCATCTTACCAAAGCTCTGGTCATAAGAAGAAGAACTTCCCAAGGCATAGTTTCCTTAGTCTTTGAAGATTATCCTGGTATGAAGAGATAGGGGAACCGCATAGACCTGGAAAAAGACATACAATATAATTCAATCGAATTATACTACATTTGTGCCTCTATATCCTGTAACACCTGAAGAAGTAGATGAAGTGTGGTGCACGTTGGTAGGAGAGTTTGGGATACAATGGCAACTAGGAGAGAGAGGGGATTTCGGTTTAATTCTGTGCAAGATTTCCATTTTGGACCTATCGCAACAGAATAGTGTACCTTTGAGACGTCACATTGTTTACCCTTCCTGAAGTCGTAGAATATAAATTACTTGTGATTTTCATGGCATATGCATTTGGTATATGTAGCCTATAAATGTTTTACAGTTCAAAACATGTTTATAATAACAAATCAGTAATTATTTGTATATATCACGGGGTTAAAAGGTAGGCAAATATTGGTGATTTGAACCTCCTTTCCTTTCAGAAACTTACCCAGATAGAGAAGTTGAATTAGGTTAGTATTTCGATGTATGACTCAAGACAATGAACCTCAAATAGGCTTGTGGGTAAAGGAAATGATATCTTGGAAAAGAAACTTGTCACATCTAACTTCTGGATAACTAGCATTTTGTTATGATCTAATACTTTATAAATACAAATTATACTCTGTTAACACATTTTGTCTCATTGAAGTTAAATTCTCGGTAGGATGTCTGTGATGTACAACAGATCCAAGGTAACAGGTATTGTCTTTTGTATTTTGGATTCTAGGATTGAATCCTATGGTAAATCTAACTCTCAAGACATGACTGAGAGCAAACATAACGAGATAACATTAAACCGTAATGAAGAAATCGTCAAAAAGTTCACATACTGTAAGGATAAAATAATAATAATCATATCAAGTCGGAAACATTTTCTGCTTATCAAATCAAAATCTGCTAAAAGCGATGTGTTTACGGAATGACAGAAAATACTGTTTGAAGTATATTATCCTCTAACCTATTATTAATATTTTCTAGTGTTTCATGGGATGTTTCTTATAATGGAGTCAGGAGTTGATACGTTCCATCATCACGAGCTATATATCACCATGAGACTGTTTGCTAGGGGAAGTGGGGGAGGGGTAAACCACAGCAGTTTACACGTGCTAATAATATTTTTTTGCAATAACAATTCTGATGTAAACTCAGGTCCTGATTCGTCTTTGTGTCTCAGTGTTAAGAAATTGTGTACTAGAACTGTATGACTGAACGTTTGTCTGAATCTTAAGTAATTTTTATATGGCAGACTAAAGTTTATTTTTGGAGAAAGGGTTTTTAAATCACATTTGTAAAGAGATTATCTTTTTATTTTTAATTTTGTGTGATCCTCAAGAACTGACGTAGCCGGAATAGTATCCTAGTGTAACATTAACAGTAACATTCTAACCTCTCGTAATAGAAGTATTTTAGAGAGCAGGAAATTACCTCGGAAGTTTAAATTAATAGCCTCCCATTGTGACCAAAATAATTTCTAGATTTAGGGCTAAAGTTGAAAACAGTTTCATTATATATACGAATTTTCTCAGAGTACATCTCTCTTCAGGTTTTATTACCGCCAATATTAAACACAGAAGCAGCACTCAGTGCTCGCATTAAATCTAAAGTTTTAAAATTAGTGAATAATGCAAGCAACAAGGAGTCTATGTAACTAAATACAGTGAAATAAAAATTTATTTAAAATTTTAATTTAATAGCTACTGATCCCATTAAAGTAATACATTTGGACACGCACCACCCTGACCCCCACCCCCACCCACAACCTCCCACCCCCACCCACTACCTACACCCCCACCCCCCAACAACACCCACCTCAACCCCCACCCATACCACCCACCAGAACTCGGTACATTTAGTGTTTCGATGAAGAGGAGGAACTTGTTATTTTAAGAGAAGAAAATTGTAAAAAAAAAATTTTTAGAAGTGGATGAATTTGTATATTTTGGTGATAATTGAAATTATCCCCGAGAAAAGATAATGTATTTCTGATATAATGAATTGTTGGTGGTATTGATTTTGAACTGTGTAGTAATTTGTGTTTGCACTTGTGCGTTATTGAATTTGTAAATAAATAAAGTAATTGTTCATTGTCCCCAAACTGTTTGTTTTGGTATAATTCACGTACCTGAAAACCTTTTAAATTATATAGAACGCCTCTGAAAACAAACGACTTATAATGTATTATAAGCTAATATAATGTATTATAAACTAATAAATGTATTATAAACTCATATAATGCATTATAAACTCATATAATGTATTATTAACTAATAAAATTATTATAAACTAATATATCATAAACTTATGTATTATAAGCTATTATAGTATAATGTATTATAAACTATTACAGTTTATTATTTACACAGTAAATATTATGGATAACCTACAATGTTTAGATCTTAACACACGTCGTGTTGGACAGGTACAGTCATTGGTGTAGCAGCAGCAACAGCAACAACAGGTGGGTGATATAACCTGACCTTGCTCAGCACGGATGATCATGTCACTTGCTCTCTTCAGCACGGATGATCATGTTACTTGCTCCCTTCTCTATTGCTCAGGGGAAGTTCCTTGATGCTGCTAAGGGGCTCTTGATCCATGGAATCGGGCCTGATCTCCCAATTCTGGGATCGAACCTGATGGACTCTCATTTCCCCAGGAACTTTATGATCTTTACGAGTTTAGCGCAGTCCCCATGAATGCAATAATAGTAATAATGAATGTTGGCCACACTGGCTAGAGCTGTTCCAACCAGCGTGACTGTGGCAGTGGATATGCTTGCTGTGTACAGAGAATTATGTATTCTTCATTTCCACTCGCCTGTAATTTGAGCTACCCTTTCGCTGGTAACACGTCTTTGATGAGTGGATAGATGAAAAAGGAGGTTGACTACAGGCACCACTCTTGCTGTTTGATATGGTTCGGTACTTGTTCGCTCCTGTATTTGCTGTCTATTATTTACGGGTATCATGTTATATATGGTACGAAATACGGATAAGTTTATGCGTAGGACACACATGCAACATTTAGGTATCATTATTAATAAAACGTTTCAACATTTAAGATACCTAAATGTTGTATGTGTATCTTATAATTAACAGGTAGCTGGAAACCGAGAATTCTGAGTTCCACAGGGTGATTGAGGTAGTACTTGTCTTAGTAGTAGTTTGCATTTGGCTAGGAGTTAAAAAAAATGTGATCTCAGGTATACCTGGAGAGGGTTTCGGGGGTCAACGCCCCTGCGGCCCTGTCTGTGACACGCAAATCGATGTACGAACTACAGCCCGGCTTGTCGGGTACTGATTTTAGGTGCCTGTCTAGCACCTTCTTAAAAACAGCACTGGGTGAGCCTATTGGTAATCCCCCTTATGTATGCTGGGAGGCAGTTGAACAATCTTGGACACCTGATGCTTATCGTGTTGTATTTTAGCGTACTCGTGACGTCCCTGCTTTTCATTAGGGAAATGTTACATCTGCCGAAATTTTTGCTTTCGTAGGGAGTGATTTTCGTGTGCAATTTTGGGACTAGTCCTAGGATTTTTTAAGTGTATATTATAATGCATTCCCTGCGTTCCAGAAATACTAATCAAGGTATTTCAACCGTTCACATCAAGGAACCTCTTCCGTTTAGCGCTTAATAAATTCAATTATTATTGAGAAAAAAAGGAATTTAACATTTTGGGTAATGTTGCTGTTCCCCGTCCTCGGTTGATTGCTTTCTTATACTTTTTAATCCTGGGACCTAGGATATTTTGTGCCTTCTCTTGTTGGGGTCTTTGGAGATATGATGCAGGGATGCTAATTTTTTTTACAACTTCAGACTTACTAGGTGAATAACAAAGCCTGAGAATTACTTCGTTTTACAAGACCCTCGAAAACTGTTTTCCATCAGACTGCTGCCCCTTGATCCCCACTAGATCTCACCACACACGTCCAATCCATTTACTCTCTCCTTTTAACACTCCTCACATTCACCCCAAAAAGAGAATCCTCACTGAGCCCCGCAACCATTAGAGTATTTTGTACTGCGAAATAAGGGTGCAACTTTTTAATCTTCAGTCGAGTACAGCTGGTGAAATGTTTGATAAACTGGCCCTCACACTCTCATACGTGTGCCGGTTTTAGGATAATTTTCTGTAGATTTCATGGTCAAATTCGAATTGTGTTTGTGCAGGATACCTGGGAGGTTGATTATCTTCAAACTCAAGGTGGTGGCTGGCACATCTGTTACTCCCAGTCTCCATACCTAACTGGAGTCACTCAATGAGACGGTCTTTCTTGAATGGTCTTCCTTGTCTCCCATATACTCCTTGGAGAAGTATATGGGAGACAGCCATAGCCAACTAGAGCTTTTATGCTTGTTTCCTGTGTGAAGATCTTCGTCTGATCCCTTTGTGGCCACTGCTACAATTCCAGCAACATGGCCAAAATCAAGTTTGCCTGCCACTCTTTCCTTTCTTACTGATAAGTCATCTATGAACTGCTACGGAGCTGCTACCTATTTTGTGGTAATATTGCCGCTGTTGGTGGTTTGCCCATCGGACGAAGTACTGCTATTCAGCCGCTGAATGTCCGATTGGAGGCTGTACAGCCGCGTCCGTATGTTCCTGTCAATACCATCTTTAATTAAGCGAGAACTGAAACCTGTGAAATGGCAGTAAAATTCAAGATAACTCGGGTAAGTTATTATGAATATGCTTTCAAGAAGTCTCAAGAGGCCTGAGATTTGGAGGCCAACCCTCATAAACACAACATTAGTGGGGCCCAGAGCTCATGCTCATCAAGAGCCCCAGGAGCTGAAGCATAACCTTGTTAAAACGCTAAAATTTTAGATTATTTGGACGTGGCATTGTGGGGATTCAATATATTTCCCCTCGAGAGTGGTTCATTGATGCCAGTGAGGGGCTCTTTGTTTCAAGGAACTGGATCATTCCTTCCCTTCCTAGGGGAGGAATGATTGATTGATTGCCTCATATTTTCCGGGCGTTGCACTACCCCTCCGTGTTTAGCGCTTCTCCCGATTTATTATTATTATTATTATTGTGTACATGTATAGTGCATAGGCAACGTTGATGGTGCTACTATCATCAATAAGATGTTCGCTACATCACTTAAGGCAGACATGGTTATCATTGATATCAAGTCGAAGCTGTCAAAAGTGAGTTTGTTATATCATCTAAAGTGGACATGGTCAGCTTTAATTGTTTTAAACAAAACTGCAGGAAGGAGCAGTTGATACAGTTTGATAATCTAAGATAAATACTTAAAATAAGAAACCTCTGTAATTTTATAAAATTACAGAGGTTACAATAGGCTTTTATCAGGGTGTTTGGCTAAATTGATAGCTGTGGGATGGAGAACTCTCATGTGACGTCTCGGTTTCCTCACTTATTCATCCACCACTGTTGCGAATTATGTCCTTGTTTTCCACAGACAACGAAGGTTCTGGGAAAAAATAAGTAAACGGGTTACTTGAGATTAAAGTGAATTATGGAGGAGCACACGCCAGCCTAGTCTACTGCCACCCAGGCCTATATATAACTGACCAAGAACGTTAGAAACGCCGACTGGCCCTGCAGAATTGTCACCTCCAGCTGGAAAATTTGAGGAATTGCCAGTGGGGGGACCCTTGATACACGGAATTGGCACTGTATGACTCCAACAGGCTTCACCTAACCCCCCCTGCCCTAGCCCTTGAATAACAACAGAATTAAACCCGGAACCGGGAGCGACCAAACATCTATACGGGTGCCTTGTTCAGGCTGGGTTTTAAGCTGGGCCAACAGTACCGAGTCATTCATCGGCAAGAAAACATTTCCCGCAGAGAATTTTGCACACTCTTAGATTCAGTAAACTCATTTGAGGATGTGCACACCCACTGTGTCTTATTGCAGACATGTACGTAGGATACAGGGTAGCCAGTGATTCAGTCACATGTCTAGTCTGTTGCTTTCTTTCAGTGCTTAGGGCCTCAGGTAATTAATATTGACTTCGTTAATGCTCAGTACTTGACAATATTGTGTATATATGTTGATGGCGTTGTTGAGAGTAAACACACTTGATTTAACCTTCCTTCATGGTGTCCAATCTACTAGTCAAAAATTATTTGTTGGACCCACTCAGTGTTCGCATCGCTATTTCAGTGTTCGCATTGCTATTTCAGTGTTCGCATCGCTATTGGGCCGTGCGGACGTGCTGCGCAGTAGCTCCTGATTGAGTTGGCTTTTGCGCAGTGGTGACGTGTACTAGCTCTGTGAAGACCTGTTTGCACGCTCTCTACGAATTAAAGCAAGATGCCCTCCATCGAGCAACTTTACCAACAACTTAAGGAAGAATTGAGGATGGCGAAGATGGAGATTCGGCGACTGACCGAGGAAAACAAGAAGATTCGTAGTAGTCCTCCTGTTTTGAGTCCTCAGGTCAAGAAGGGAAACTGGTCAGTGGTTGGTCAGCAGGGAACAAAGTTGACGATCAAGAAGACAAATGGAAAGGTAGAAACGATGAAGAAGAAAGAGACTGCCGTGGAAACTGTTGTGGAAACATCTAATACATTCTCAGTGCTACCCGACGAATGTGAGTCGACTACTGGGAACGTCACGACGAACGACATCAAGGAAGGTAAGAATATTGTTGTTGTTGGGGATAGCCAAGTTAGGTATATGGATAGGGCGTTCTGCTTGAAGGACAGGAGTAGGAGACAGTTTGCTTTCCTGGGGCTGGGATGGAGGATATTGTTAGCCGTCTGGATGACATCATGAGAGGTAATGGGAGCAATCCTATTATCTGTCTCAGTGCTGGAGGCAACGATGTTGGCAGACGTAGGAGTGAAGACCTGATTAGCAGGTATAGGTCAGCAGTAGAAATAATTAGGAGTAAGGGTGGGAACCCTGTCATATGTGGTATTTTGCCAAGGAGAGGAGTTGGAAATGAATGGTTGTCCAGGGCAATTGGTGTCAATTGCTGCCTGGACAAATACTGTAAGGAAAATGCGGTAACATTCATTGACAACTGGGACCTCTTCTATGGCAGAAATGACATGTATGCCAGGGATGGGGTTCACTTATCTAGGTGTGGGGTGGAAACACTGGCAAGTGCAGTGGAGGGAGCTGTTAGGACTTTAAACTAGGAATAGTTAGTGGTATGGGTTTTGGCAGGAAAACAGTGAAGTTCAAGTGTAGTAATATTACGAGTTCTAGGGGAACTAGTAATAAGCAGAACGAGGTAGA